TGTCTTACGAGTCACCTAGCCAATCGTGAAAATGAATTGGACCCATTTGCGTCTCAGCCACAAAATTTGGAAATATCTCACCTAATAAGACCATATTGGCATTTAAAGTTTACTTTTAAAATTAGTGCTCTTGCTATAGAGAGAAGTTGTCACGCAGTTACATATGTTTGAAAGTTTGAATATCACTGACAGGATTGTTGTTAAGGCGATTATATACAAGCATATATAATCGCCTACAAGCATACATTTTATTGAAATAATAAAAAGATATTAAAAGTTTATTATTTTATATTTTATAAATTAATTTATGTAGATTAAAATAAATATTTATTTATCCTTAAATGTTTATTTTTGTCAATTAGAGATATTTATTAATTAATATTAATTATTATATTACATTCAATTTAATTTTCAATTCAGATTTATATACTTCTACAAAAATATAAACTTTTAACAGGAGTTGCAAAATTTAGAATTTCCCACTATTTAAGTGTCATAGAAAGTTTTTCCTATTACCACAAACAACGTACAGGATAGATCTAGTATCTTATGGGACTTTGTGTCCGCGGCACTAGGGCTGATAACACCCTTACCATTTTTGTGTCGCTCCCAATGTTACCGAATCAGCATATAATAAGATTACAACATAAGTAGTGGTTGGAATTAGAAGTAAACATAACTATGAAATTACAAATAAAAAAGTAACGTAATTGTTTATTAGTAGATCATTCATCATATGCGCGTATTCTACTGCTGTCAAAAGATCGTGAACAGTTTTATCTGCGCAATTTAACATATGCATATATTTTTATATGCAGATTTAGCAAAAGAGGATTTTTTACATCTGTCAATTTTACCATCTTTAATGCTTGGATTGTATATAATTCCTAAACTCAATGCTTTATATCATAGAGGGCATAACAAAACCTCTGATTTTTTGCACGATCCGTATTTCAAAACGTTAGACACAAAAGTACAGTAGGTGTTAGGTCTATCCTGTACCTAACGTTACCGCTAGTAAACTTAACGTGTGCAAACAAAACGAATGTATTGGTTACATCTAAATTGTTTTCATCATTTTTAAAAATGTATACTAGAGTTTCTTTAAGATTTATGAATATTGCAACCAAATTGTATTCCAACGTTTTCATTCATCTTACACAACACAAATTAATACCTTCACAGTTTAATTATTTCGTGAACACACGTGCATTACTAACACGAGGTTATTGTACAGATGTTAACCCTTCTGCTGTAATAAGAGATGAACATGCTAAGCTGGACGAAAAGGAATTGAATGAACTTCTACAAAATCCGCAATATGAAGTATTATATCAAAAGTATAAATTAGAAATAGAATTTTTAAGACAAGCTACAAACAAAATACCATCAACTTTAAGTAGTAATGATTGGTTGCAACTATTGAAAGCACAAACAAGGGGACAAAGAAGGTTCTATTTAATATAAATTGTAAGGTAAAAATAATTTTAAGTTAATATCTTAATTTTGTATCATATTTCTAATATTCAGATCATATTTGGAATATGCTTGGAGATTAGAAATGAAAGAGATAACTAAAGCGAAGAAAAAAGAAATGAATGAGAAGGAAAGAAGTTCATTAATACAAAAGAAAGATGATGATAGTCCATATGGATTGAACAAATGTACAATGTTCTTTCGTATACGTGACTCAGCAATAAATATGTTTTACAACCGTAGACTAATAAGTGCTATAATGTATGAACCAACGATAGTACTTGATCTTGGATATGAATCCTGTATGGCTCCTTCTGAACAGCAAAATTGTGCAAAACAATTATTACTATCATTCTCTGTGAATCGAACTCATGATGAACCATTTAATCTCCACTTTTGTAATGTTAATATGGATGGAATTATTATCAGAAGGTTACATAAAGTACTACCACAGTTACATGAACCCGATTTTCCATTAAATCTCAATACAGAATCCTATTTGGATATATTTGATAAAAATAAATTAGTGTATCTTTCTCCTCATGCCCAAGCAGTTATGACAAAATATGATCCTAATCTAGTGTATATAATTGGTGCAATGGTAGATAAGGTAATTAATAATTTGTTTTTACCCAATAATGATACTCTTAATATTAAGGATACCATACACTATGTTATAGATTTAGTATTAGTTAAATCTATAATTTTCAACTGTAATAAAAGGATTGCAATAATAATAAGAAACTATTGTTATATATTGAAAACACAACACTTTATATCAATTGATTTTTATTAAAACATTTTTTCAGATAAATCCTAAGCCATTCTCATTTGAAAAAGCTAAAAGAGAAGGTATTAAGATGATGAAATTGCCCTTGAGTGAAAAGTTAGAATGGGGAATGGGATCTACAAAAAATCTTCCTCTTAATCAAGTTCTTTCTATTTTGTTAGATTTAAGACATACTAATGATTGGACAAAAGCATTGGAACATATTCCTAAGAGGAAGTTAAGAGAAGCAAGGGAAGACCAATTAGTAAGGAAACTTAACTATAGAGAAAGGAGAATAGAATATATGTCAAGTTTAAAAACTGATTAAGTTAAATGTAATACTTATAAACTTACAATTAAATAAAGTTTTAAACATAAATTATTGCATTCGTTTTAATTTTATTATGCATTGTTATTTTTAATGCAAAAGAAATATCTTACATCTGTCA